ATCAACCATTACTGCTATGGTGTATTTTGAATTGGGACGTATTCCCGTGGTAGTGAAAGGTAAACTGCAGATTTTTAAATATTGGCTCAAACTTTTGAACCCAAATAACTGTATTCTGAAAGGTTTCTACGAGGATCTTAAAGCTTCTTGTGCAAATATACCATTCGCAGGTCGATGAATTGGGTAAAACTGATTAAGGATGAATTACACAACATTGGACTAGGTGAATTGTGGCTACGCCAGACTGAACTAACATTTGAAAACGCATTTTCACTAATAAAAGAGCTTCTACAAGATATAAAAACACAAGAACTATATTCTTTTCTGGAAAACAGTAGCAAGTGTGTTATTAACAGATAAATAATCACAAACCTAGATTTACTATATTTCTTGACTAAATATATCCCTACTTTATACCGGAAGGATATTACAAAAATAAGATTATCTTCACATTCGTTAAATATTGAGACTGGTCGTTTTCTGAATGTACCTGTAATAGATCGTTTATGCATTGTATGTAGTCAAAGTATTGAGGACGAGTTCCACTTTATTCTTGTGTGTTCGGCATACAGAGACTTGCGGGCAAAGTTTACAAAAACTATACTACTGGTATAGACCGAGAGTATTTAAACTGACACAGTTGTTTAGTCTACAAAATGTTAAGCAGTTGATTTTTTTTTAGGGGGGAGGGGGGAATTATGCTGTCTTTTAAAATGAGTGACAGTATTTACAAAATATTTAACATTCTCTGTCTACATGTTTTACTGCAAATATATCTTGTTATTTCTTGTTTACATCGATGAACATGATGAGCTGTAAAGCTTAACTGCTTAAGGTAATAAAGTATACAAGTAGGATCACCCTTGCCATTCAGATTAAACAATATATACCGACATGCTTAGTCAATAACTATAACTATAACAAAAAAAGTTTATCAAATGTCTATTTCATTTTATGAGACCTCTTTTGGAATATGGATGCGAAGCATTGGATGGGTGTTTTGAATATGAATCTAATAAACTACCCCCCCCCCCATAAAAAAAAAAAAAACAAAAAAAAAAACTAGAAGCTACAAGGATAGTTGTAGGTCTTACACAATTTCCAAGTTAAGAATCCTTAAATTTTGAAACGGGCTTGGAAACTTTAACAGAAAGGCGTAGACAACGAACATTAACAATATCAATTGCATAATAAATCGTGTCCCCAATATTTAATCGACTGTCTACCTCCAGTTACACCTGATGTCAGTAGATAAAACCTAAGAAATAATGATAATTATATATATATATCCCCTAGATGTAGACTACGAATAACTGAAAAGTCATTCGTACCATCTACTGTCAGAAAATGGAATAATTTAAATCAAACCATAAGAAACGCACCACCTATCACCACAATTTGAAAGAAAAATAAAGGGGGAACATTTAGACTTCCAACATACTGTGGTGAAGGGTCCAGAAAATTTAATTTATACTGCATTCAAGACTAAGGCACCAGTGCAGTTCACTAAATGCAGACTTAAATAAGATAAATGTAGTGAATGATTCTAACTGCTCCTGTGGTTCTCCTGTTGAAGATGATATTCATTACTTTCTAGAATGCTAATTTTATTATAACCAAAGAGTAGCTATGGTTAATTATCTTATAAATATGAATATATGTGCCTGTCCAAAGTCAGGAGCCTGTTAATTAGGCCGTTATTTTCTCAATTGGATTGTTTCGTGAATTTCATGTCGGGGTATTTTAGAACCAACTATATGGTGTAAGTTTTTCTCTCCTGTTGACGATGATATTCATTTCTTTCTAAAATGCTAATTTTATTATATCCAAAAAGTAGCTATGGTTAATGATCTTATAAATATGAATATATATAATAATATATATAAAGAATGGAGCATAACAGCCTGCCGTTTTTATAGATAAAAAAAAATACTAGTAACTAAACATGTTTTTACTCCACACATTCTGTATGTGCCTGTCCTAAGTCAGGAGCCTGTTGCACAATGTAATTAGGCCGTTATTTTCTCAATTGGATTGTTTCGTATATTTCATGTCGGGGTCTTTTAGAACCAACTATATGGTATAAGTTTTTCTCATTGTTGAAGGCCGTACGGTTGCTTTTAATTGCTTACGTCTACTTCATTCGAACTTTGGTGGATAGTTTCTCATCGGCAATCATACCGCATCTCCTTATTTTTAAACATGCCTATTCAACATTGATACTGAAAGGCTAGTGTTGGGAACAGGTGCATAAAATTACGAAACTAACTCTTAAATTTTTGATAAAGTTCGTTGTTTCATTAAACAGTCAAAAATATTTAACATTCCAAGTCAGCAGTTTTGTCTTTGTCTTCTTTTCTGTTCTTCTTGCTTTTTTAAGAGTTTTTTTCTGTTGCCATGCCAATGTGTGACCCCTTCCTTTCTTTTCTATAACTGAAGGTATATTATTTATGTGTTTGCTGCCATCATAAAAAATTATATGTGTATTGTATATTTAAGGAGAGGACTTAATATAAGTTGTTATAACTTGTGTCCAATCCTATTTCTTGATTAGTCAAAATAAAAAAATACTAATAAATTGACTTAATTATAACATATCTCTAGAGCAGTTTATCAAACATTCAGAATTTAGCATTTTCTATCATGATTTTTTTTGGGGGGGGGGGGGGGGGGGGGAGGATTCCCACTGTTTAGTTGCTGATTCAAGTATAAATTAAACACTTTTTTTAATAAATAAAGACTTGCCATTTTGCCTTTGCTTTTGTTTGAATTCGATTATTTATTTCCATCCTCAGAATTCTTAGTTCTGTTTCAGCATTATAATATGTTGTAAATCATTTGAATAATTTATTGCAAACAAAAGGTGTGTATTTTTTCTAATTTTTCAAATAGCATCTTCTCCTTTTTATATTTTTCTGTTTCGTTAAATGAAGAGCAGGATATGGCTGTGTCTCTAATTTTCATTTAAAAGATCCCCAAAGCAGATGATTATTAACTGTGTATGCTTGACCAAGATGTTCAAGCTCTACATTAGGCTTACATTTATATTCAGACATAACCTCTGTAAATCATGCTTGACTTTACATACATATATATGTGTGCGTGTGTGCGTATGATAGAAGAATTCGTTTATTGCAAAAGTATTCATAACATAGAATAAATACTCGTCCTGAAGTTCATGCACAACCAGTATGACCTCCAAGTATTCCGGAAGAAGGGTTTGTTACAATATATTTTTAAATTGGTAATTATCAAAATGTTTAGATCATCAATAAGTATGTCAACACTTGGGTTGTGAGTGCACCATTTCCCGATCTTAGTAGACCAAGAGTTGCCAGTTTACCTACTAAATGACGGTGGTTCTCTGTAAATATCAACAACAAAATAAAGTGGTCGTGGGGATTTAGCCAAGAGTGCTGTAAGTGACGTTTATCACAACCATTTATCAATCAACCTTTTCAAAAATATAACTAGTTATTAGCCTGTATTTGGTCAAACATAGAGGCTCTCGAGAGTCTGTGTTACTCACTTGGATCTTATTCTACTATGATTTTGGAAATGATTTCAAAATAATGTTAAAATCATAATAAAGAGCAATTACCCTCAAGGATTCAAACTGGTGATTTAAAACATTTAACAAATTTGCAGATCTTTTCTTGAATATCATTATTGCTGCTAAAAGTTTATCTTTTTCGACCATAGTTTCAAGATAATGAGTAAAATCAAGACAAAATGGTAAAAATGATATTTAGGAGCAATAACTCCTACGAAGAATCAACCAATGAATACAGCCATACTAGCTTAATGTAGACATTATCTTGCTGATCCTTTTTTGCTTGAAGTTTCTATATATTAACAATTTCAAAATAATCGGCAAAAACACACAAAATTGGTGAAAATCATCATTTAAGGGCAATAAGTCTGACCAGAAATTGACATAGAAGTTGTAGATCTCAATATTCGGGAAATGTCTGCCTCGGTCAGATTTTCTCCATCAATAATGGGATTCAAGATAATAGACAAAACATACTTTTTTTCATCCCTATGTTCTATTTTTAGCTATATTGGTTGGCAAGCAGATTCATCGAATAGAGTTTTTAATCTAGTGACCCAACTAATGAAGGTTGCCAATTTTGATTTATTTTTGCCCAGTAGTTTTCATAGAAGAAGATTACAAATTTATTGTAAAAATTTACAAGATTGACGAAAAAATTGCAAAAAATTGTATTGAACTCCATCTATAAAGAGTTAACTGATAATTTCAGTCATGTTGACATATATTTGTAGATCTTGTACTGCTGATAATGTTTACTCTTTTTAAGTTTCTATCTACATTGGTATCTATTATACTTTTTCAAGATAATAGGCAAAAACTAAAAAGAATAGGTAAAAATCGTCATTAAAGTGCAATAACTATAATAAATAGTCCTTTGACGATTTCAGTCATTCGTATTATCTGTAAATTTTGTCTTGCTGATCACTTTTCCTGATTGAAGTTTCTTTTTATCTATAGTAGTTTTCAAAATAATAGGCAAAAATGAAAAATAAGCTGTTGACACAGAGATATGTCTCGCCTGTCGGCATAAAATTCAGAAAAAGACAATCTGATGGAGAATAAAAATGCTTATTAGTTCAATCGCTGGACCATAATCTAATAGGCAGGACCTGAAAACATCGACAAACTTAGATATGCAGACAGTAATGTAACTTTATAGAAATTATATCGTTGTCTATTGCAAGTATCTTTTTTATCTTTATTCTCTATTGTAAGTATTTCCTACCAATCTACATTATTATAAGGTACCTGGGGTGCCTTCCTCCATCTCGCATTTTGAAATAGAAGCCTGTACATTGTAACAATCAGTCTAGATTTTTAATGAAATGGGCAAATTTCGAGACTATCATGTAATTCATGTGTAAGACTTTTCATGTAAAATATAGAAAATGATGTGCGTTATAATATTTACAGCTGTATTTTACAAAAAACAGAATTTTTTGTTTGATTCATTTTTTATTACCCTGCAATTTAAGTAGAGATAACTCAGATAAAGTAACTTTTACAATAGAATGTGTTGTGAATCTACCTATTTTATTATGTAGCAAGAAAACAAGTCCGGTGACCCCATTTTTCTTTTTCTTATCTTAAAGCATATTGTTAGAACTATCTTCTCATATTCTATCTTAAACGTTTTTGGTGTAGTTTCTTTTTATCACACAAAATTGAGTTTTCTAATCATAATGTATACAAAATCTGCCAATTTTGCACAACCTGTAGCGTGAAAAAAACCCGGTGACCCATACTTTTCATTAAATTTTTGACAAAAAAATGATATAAAACTTCGTCCTCGGTCAATATAATCCGAACAGCTCCATATTTAACGTATTGACCTCGTCAAAAGTCCATAATTGATAAATATTCAAGATAATTACTAAAAACTGATAAATTCCTTAAAATGAACAATTCAGGGGCAGCAAATCAACAATGTCTGTTTCTTCTGAAATTACAGAGCATAGATCGTGACCTGGTGAACATTTCTAACCCGTCAGTTTTTCTCTAAATGCGTTAGTTTTTATAGATATAAGCCAAGCTCTGCATTTTACCTCTTTGCTCTATTTTTAACCATGGCGACCCTGTTGGTTGATTGGCGGAGTCATCGGACACATTTTCTTAAACTTGATACCCTAATGATGAGTATGGACAAGTTTAATTCCATTTGGCCATGTAGTTTCAGAGGAGAAGAACTTTGTAAAAGATTACAAAAATGACGAAAAAAATGTCTTTAAAAGACAATAACTCCAATAAGGGGTCAATTGACGATAAACGTTTTTGGTTACGTTTGAATTATTGTTTTGCTCTAAATGCATTTATTTTATAGATATAAACTAAAAACCACATTTGAGCTACATCAGTCACTCCGGAAGGGCGTGTTTAATATTTTTAAATTTTTTTACAGCATGTCATCTTTTATATGGGTGAACAACTAACGTCATTCGAATACTGCTAAGTGCACAACAGAATAGACATCAGTATGAAGGTCATTATGCAGGTGTCAACAGCTCCCGACCTGATTGCTTCATACAGGTGTCAGCAGTACCCAGCCAGATTGCATCAAACAGGTGTCAGGAGCTCCCTGTCTGATTGCTTCAAACGGCTATTCCACACAAAGCAGATATACAGACAGCGAGTCCATCAGTTTCCCGGTTTTGTCTGGAGCCACGTCATGGAAGAAACAACGTCATCTTTTTTCTTTCATTATTCATTAAAGACTTCTTTCAAATATTAATAAAACCATCAAGAATGTTAGTCGTCCGAATTCCTCACAACTTAGTTTTTGCATTGCAAGCTTAGTCTTTCTTGGTTGTTATTTCGATTGCAAGCTTAATCTTTCTTGTTTGTTATTGGTGTTGCAAGGTTATAAATTTTAGCACCTTCGCTATAGTCAACACCACTTATTCTCTCCGCTTCCGGTGGAAACATTTTCCTTTTATGACCATAATACGCATTTCTAAGATAGCCTCCATCGCTGACGGCATTAAAAGTTAAATAAAATACCCGGCGAGCTTTATTCGTCATGTTTTTTGCAGACCTATGTGGTACAAAAGCATTAAAAATCATTATAGAACCTGCTTCGCAAGGAGCCGGCTTCCAGTTCATCGTGTCTACAACGTCAGGGTGTATATTACCACTTTCCTCCTGACGTAGCACGCCTTCTTTATGACGACCGGAAACTAGTTCGAGACAACCATTTTCTATCGTCATTTCATCAATGGCAACCATGGCGGTAATGTGTAGCTTTTGGTCGAATGTGACATACGCAGGCGCGTCTTGGTGCGGCGGAAACGCTCCACCATTCGGCAGTTTGTAATTTACTTTTTCTTTAAACAAGCATGCCGGTTCGTCAAAACAATCCGATATACAGGATGTGATTTTATTTTCAATAAGGTTTCTCATACCTTCATGGTATGGAATAAAATTTTCTGTGCGACACAATGTTTTCTTTCCATTTACAGTTTCGAAATAAGAAAACCACTTGTTTGCAGTTTCCGGCCATGCTTGAATTTCGTCTCCCCAGTTTTTTGACGTTTAGCTTTTCTTCTTCGGTTAAGAAATTTTTCAGCACTAAGTATCCATCATTGTTAAATGACGCCACTTCCTCTCTTGTTAACACTTGGCGTTGATACTCTTCAGTCATTTCTAAAATATATACATACATAAGAGATAATACACAAGCAGATCCTACTACTAAATATATCTTTTATGGGGGTCAAGATGGGTTTCATACAATAGCTATAGTGAAAATTGAGTCAATGGTACAGAAAAATAGACAAAAATATAGAAAACAGAATAACAGTACTGCGAATTACAGAGAGAGAACATGAGGTTCCATATATAAAGAATAGAGAATAATTGGCAAAATAAATAAAAGAATAGAGAAAAATTACATTAGAAAAAGAATATAGAAATGAAGGACCCCCGTCCTGACCCTCATAATTGTATAAATTAAGAAAAAAAAACATACGTATACATCGTCTCCCTTTCTTTAATAAAACATTTTTTTACGTGTACAAGTAAATAAACTTTTATTGTTTATGTTTATATCTATGCATAACAGTTCTGTTTCAAAACGGTGGTCAATTAAAATCCATTTGCGCCAGTTCAGAACAGTGGTTGCAAATTGAAAGTTCGATGCAGTGACCACTAACATAATGATTTTGTAAAATATTTTTGCACCCCGAAAATATCTTGGGAGCATATAGTTATCGCTTTGTCCGTTCACCAGATCTGTTAGCAGTGTAAACTTTTAACTTGTTTACCCCCGGGATTATCCATTCAATAGTCCGAAATGTATTTAATCCTTAGTACAAACTAACCCTTTCACAATGAATACAAAAATGAAAGAGTGTCTGGACTAGGTTAATAGAGAATAAAGACCAATGAAACATAATACTGAATAGAGAGTAATGGGTCCTACTGAATAAAGATCTCGCAGAGGGTCCCGAACAATGTTCTAAACAGACAAACAACTCGAATCAAGTGGAGATAGGGGTCTTTCAATTTTGTATTCTTTTTTTTTTCGTTCATTATTCCTAATCTTTACCAAAATAATGGCTATTCTGTAATTACTTGATAATTGTATTCTGGACATTGTTTTTTTTTCTGTAATATTTTTACCCAATATTTAATTTTTGTAGTTATTCTTTATACTTTAGCCCCCCCCCCCATTATTCTCTATTCTTTCTTTTTTTTTTGCCCATTTTTCTCTATTTTTTTTGTCCATTATCTTCTCCCCACACCCTCGGATATTACCTTTGTGAAAAATAATTCACTGCATCATTAATTTAAAGGGTTTACTGTGTCATCGATCCAGTGTATTTGTCATTTATGAACTGTTTATTTGTTATTTATGAACTGTTTATTTGTTATTTATGAACTGTTTATTTTTAATTTTGTCGATCTGATTTGTTAATCATTTTTCAACTGGTTTATATTTATGTCGTTTGTTCTTATGTCGTACTTTTACACGACTGTCCAGGATTGGGGGAAAGTTTAGATACAGCAAATGGGCGTTTCAATAAAAACGTGATTTCTTGTCCCAGCCACTTTTAAAAAAAATGTGTTTGATCTTTACAAGTAATTTTTTGTGCAGTCAGTACATTTAATTAGATATACCATTTTTAAGCAAAGAAACATGCTATTTTGTAGAGGAATTAATAAGATATTGATTCCTGAATGGTTCAAAATAAACAAAATGGCATGTCCCTAGACCTCCTATTCAACATTCATACTCTAAAATATTGTAACAAAAGGTAGAAATAAATGTTATTTTTACTTAATATAAGTTCTTTAATTATTCAAAAGTATGTTTAGAGCCAACATATTTTAATAAACATTTTTTGACAAAGGATTTTTAATTTTAGAAGGTGTGTCCCTGAAATTCCTGACAAAATGTCCACTAAGAAACGAAGTCATTAAATTTTGTTAATAAACAGTTTTATACAATTAATGTTGGCAAGATATATACACATTAGGGTCTTATAATAGAAGTGATGCTTTTATAACGGCAGTTAAATTGTTGGCCAAAAAAATTGAACACATCAAATGGACCAGAGTGATACCGTATTTGTTTTAATGTCCACTACGAAACGGGTCAAATCTCCTTCAGTATCTGGTTTTAAAATTATAAAAAAAATACCAGTGTACAGCTTTGTATGTGCTTTGATGAATGGAATCATTTTTGTTACTATTACAATATAGGGATTGTGGGGAATGTGAATATGTCCACTACGTAATGGTCAACTACGAAACAAGTATGAGAGAAAAACGTTTCGTAGTGGACACTACCACTACCATGCAGTCGTTTTTTACATTTTTTTCAATTATATTCGTGCAAAACAAATGACAAGGGTTAATTTCATGTAATTTTCAGTATATTTTTATCAACATAGAATAGGGTTGATGTCAACTACGAAACATTTTGTCCACTACGAAACGGTTTTGTCAACTACGAAACTCATCAAAATGTCCACTACGTAACATGAGTTGTACCTTCATATGTGAAGTACTGTCTAATCTTTATCGATAAAAAAATGGTTCTCCAATTCAGAAAAAATGAGATCTTTCTAGGATATAAAGTAAAACAAACTGGAATGTCAATAGGAGACATTAAAATGTCATACGATGTGCGTTTAGAAGCAGTTTCGTAGTGGACAAATGTCCCCTACGAAACAGTAAATAAATTATGAAAAAATATCATTTTGAAGAGTATTTAAGATTGCACTTTTTATTAACAAACAGGTCTATAATAGAGGTATTCAAAAAAACTCTTGAAATAAAATTTTAGACAGGTTGATTGTCCATTTTTTTAGGTCTAAAACTCAAACTTTTATTGAAAAACGCCCAAATACGTTTGACCCCGCTGCATATTGTATGTACCTGTCCTAAGTCAGGAGTTTTTATTTTTATAAAGAATGGAGATTAACAGTCTACAGTTTTTTTTTTAATGAATAGACAAAAATAACTAAACATGTTCAACCCCGACACATTCTTTATGAGCCTGTCCTAAGTCAGTAGCCTGTAATTCAGTGGTTGTCATTTGTTCATATGTCATATTTGTTTTTCGTAAATTGTTTTGTTATAATAAATCAGGCCGTCATTTTTTTTCAATTGAATTGTTTCACGTATTTCATGTCGGGGTCTTTTATAGCCAACTATACGGTATGCTTTTTTCTCATTGTTGAAGGCGTACGGTTGCCTTTAGTTGCTTACATCTACTTTATTCGAACCTTGGTGGATAGTTGTCTCATCGGCAATCATACCGCATCTCCTTATTTTTATACACAAAGGATGTTCGCTCCTCTTGTTTTTGAATTTTTGTCAGATATTCGGAATCCTCTTGTTTTATCAATATAGAGCCATTTAAAAAATTTGCCCACTAACCCCTACTTTTCTTTCCATAATTTGATTACATACATATTAAAATGTCATCTTTGAAAATCTTATACAATCCTTGTTATTTTTTCATCGATTCTGAAAGAAAAAAGGTGTTAATGTTAAAAATGTATGAAAAATCTAGTGTGACCCATTTCCCGTCAAAATTTGTAATGGCTTATATCTCAAAAACAAGCACACGGACCCTCCCTTTTTTTTTTTGCCTTTTTAGATTTTTATTTTATTTATATATTATCATAGTCTGACGGACGGACAGACGGGTCAAAAAACTTATACCCGACGCAATAAATTGCGTGGGGTATAATAATATTATTAACAATAAAGTAGAGAGAATAATTTGGGTGCTAAAATATAAAGAATAGGGAATTATGGGTAACAATATAAATAATAGAGAAAATTGGCAGAAAAGTAAAGAATAGAAAAAATGACATAAAAAACTATAGAATACAGAGTTGAAGGACCACTTATCCAGACCCTCTTTTAAAAAGCTTGTAATTTTGATACAGAGTAGCTAACATCCTTCACGGGGTAATCAGATATATGTCTAACGTAATTACCATTCATAACAGTAGCTGTGGATTGATACCTAGACCGGGAACCAGTCACCAAACGGAGAAGGGTCCGTTTCATTAAAGAGCCCATGCTGTAATCACACTTGTTTCTTTGTTCCTGGAAAAAATATAAACCAATTCTATTATATTATATTGACTAGAAATAAATCAAAATTTCTTCCTACACTGTAGCACCATTAAGCAACGATCTCATACCACTATGGTTTCTGTCATTCAACCAGTGACCGGTCCTAGATTGATTGATTGGTTTTTAACGCCACTTTCAGCACTATTGTGCTATTTCGTGGCGGTCTGTTTATATTGGTGGAGAAAACCGGATTGCCGCCGGAGAGAACCACCGATCCCCGGTAGGAAAACTGACAATCCTAGTCAATTAAGATTGGAGTCGAGTGCACCTGCCATATGCGGGATTCGAACTCACACCCTCAGTGTTGACAGGCTAGTGATGCAGTAGTTCGACTCCTTAGACCACTCGGCGACCGAGGTCATAATATACCGAGACAAGAACACATCAATGACCAAATTACTCTGAACTTCATGCGAAATTGTTTTTTTACCTGATTTGTCAATGAAAACACGTTGTGATAACATTTACAATACCAATTGCAATTGCAATTGCACTGCACCAAATGAGCATTTGACAATTAAGTGTCTTTTCAGTGATGCTCGAAGCAAAAATATGTGAAAGTTCAAAACCCAATACAAACGTTGATTCAATACAAATGATCCAAAGGTGAGGCATTAGCTGAACAAGAACAAAGGTGGTCTTGATGGCGTTTACAGAATAGAGAATACTAGGCCAATACTGGAGAAAAATGGGCCCCCCAAAAAATAGAGCAAGTAGACGAAAAAACCAAAGAATAGACAACAATAGGACAAAATATAAAGAATAGAGAATAATGGGGTGCTAGAATATAAAGAAGAGAGAAAAATTGCCCCATGTCCGTTCTTTCTCATAAATTAGTGGCGGATCCACGGTATTAAGGGTTAGGACACCCCCCTTTTTTTTTAACCACAATGCTTTTGTTTGGTGAACATCCCTCTTTTAAATGACTAGCATGCTGGAAACCCGTCCCTTTTCTAAAAAGCAATGGATTCGCGCCTGTATATGATGTTAAATGGGGTGTTTCATCGTGAAAAAAACACCAACTGATAAGACGAAAGAGCAACCCCGAAACATAACATCGAATGAAACAGATGATTTAAATCAATTGTGCAGCCCTATATTGGCGCTCCCAATTGGCAAATAAACAATATGTTATGTAATATCATGATAGCGTTAGAAGACGACCATTTGATATTGATGGGAGTGTTACAAACTGTCCTGGTAAGAACTGAAAATAAATAACCTTGCGCAAGACAACCTCGCGCAAGACAGGATGAGCACGAATAATGTACCCCCCCCCCCCCCCCTTTCCCCCCACTGAATATTAAATGTTCGACTCCAAGCTTACTAATTTAATAAGAAAATTGTTAAATTGTATTTCATCTTTTTCAGATGAATTAATTAAAATGGGTTTGGTTGGGGCTATTAGAATAGAGAACAATGGTTGAAAGAAATATAGAATAGATAAAAATGAGCAAAATGAAATAAAGAATAGGAAATAATGGGGTGTAAAAATATAAAGAATAACTGTGAAAAAATAAAAAAAAAATATGTTATACAATACTGATTACAGAAATGAACGATGTACAAATTAAGAAATCATTTAATTTTTGGAGAAAATAATAGCAGCATCATTTTCAATAGAATTTTACAGAATGAGTGTTATTTTTAAAGATAAAGAAAAATTACTTTAAAATTTAGAGAATACAGAAATTAAACCCTCATAAAACATTTTTTTTTTTTATAAAATACAGTATTTGGCTTCACTTACTTTTTGACAATTTTCCACGTTTGATCACTATAACATTATGATTTAAATGACCGATATAATGCCGGAATCGTTTGACCATAGACAGTAACTAACTAGTAGGCGTGTTAAGGTGAAAAAGTATACTCGATGCTGCGGTTCACATATTACAGTTTAAATACGGGGAAAATGTCAAAACATTGATTCTTAAATTTAACCAGTAAATTTAAATCATATTCTTGATATTAACCATATACAGATCTTTCAAATTAAATATATCAATTCAGATATTTATTTAAAATTTTTTTTTCATTGCTCGTCATTATAGGACGGAGAATGTGTGTATTACGTTTCCACGGGGAAAAAGGGATGTAATAATAATGCAAGTATGCACTTCTTATGCATATGGTAAGCCAGTTTGAAAGAATTCTTTTAACCGCTCATGGAAATATTCAATCTGGCTGTTCACTTATCTCGTACATATCTCTACAGACTGGTGGTTGTTTATATCTTCGTAATGTCTCCATAAGCTTCCAATACAATTGAGAGGTTTCTAAGAGCCTTATAGCGTGTTCCCGATAAACCCGACACTCTAAAAATTGGGCTTTCACTTTGTTTATCTGTGGTTTAGCTCTTAGTACAGAAATGATGACTATAGGGGTAACGAACCAGGTGCAAATGCAGGATTATGAAGAATAAAATGGGAGGGGGGATATTAAAAGGATGCCAAAGCGGTTAAAAACGAGGCACACCTTGCTTACAACTCTTATGAGGGAAATAAAAATCTGAGTTTAAATTTTCCTTTAAATGTGAAGTTTTGAGGAAATAAACGATGAAAATGCGCCCTTGAAAAGATATCTGACAAGTTAAACTTGTTGGTCTGTTTAATTGATTGATTGTTGTTTGCTTAATTGTCGTCTTGTGGCAAATATTTTGCGCTTGTTTAGGATGAGGTCTGCATGTTTGAAAGGCTATTAAAATTGGAAGACAATCTCAGATCTTCTATGAAATTACAAAGCTTAATGTTGGGGAAACTTTGCATGAATATATATAGGATATCTCTGTCAAAGGATACCATTGTATTGGGTCAAACTGCCGAAAAACGAGTCACATGAACATGGCATTAGGGGAAAACAAAGATTTTCCTTAAAGCGGTTCTTTCAAGAAAATGACACGGTGTGGCTTCTTAGACTTTTCAACTCTCACTCAAGGGCTTAACAAGGTCAAATGGGTATGAAGAAAAGGCCATATAATCTTTGTGTAGGAGACATTCTCAGATATTCTGTGAAACTACATGTAATAATGCATCATGTAATGTTTCATCGTCCTTAACATGCATGAAATAGTTGCCACTGTACATATATTTAGCAACCACCAATCAATCAATCAATCAATCATAAAATGTTTCAAGTTGAAGCTTTATCTAAAAAAATGTATGTGTAATAGGCCCTTTAAAACAGTACCGGTTGGATGAAAAGTATGGAAGCTAGCAGAGATCAAATTTAATTAACATATACTAAATTCTTTCTTGAATCTTCACCATTATAGATGTAAAAAACATTGCAGATGTATTATTGAGCATGTATTAAAAATATATTATACTTTAAGGATGTACTTAGGTGATCTAAGGTGAAATTAAATGAATCAAGAATTTAAAATTGATACTATAAGCTTGAAGAGTATAAGTTAAGTATCAAAATAAGCTAAAAATATTGATAGGTCATGGAGCCCCTTTTCGAGATATTTGATTTATAAAATATGGCGGGAAAAGGCTGACTCGGACTTTTACCTTATATTTGCATTGGTATTATTTGGGACTCAAATCAAAAGAAAGAAAATCAAGAATCTGCTTAAATTTTGTCAAATGACTTTGTATGAGCTATTAAGTCTTATATTAAAAGATAAATAGGTGTTATGGGGCAAAATATTTTACATTGTATCGTATGGAAAAAAAACAAGGAGTCCGAAAATCTGATACAAATTCCAAAACCTCACCTAAGTACATCCTTAAGTTATTTGCTAGTTCTTAAAACAGTTGACAATTTATCTTGTGTGTTTGTGTGGTGGAGGTATGCCTTTTCTAATTAATTGCTTGATTCTTAATTACCTAAAAAAATGGAGGTACATATATTCTATGTATGTAGCATAGTTTGAAAGATCTTAAGTTTAAAACTGCGGAAGGAGTTTATTACATTTCCGTCGCAATTTATTCTGAAAATTTTAAATTAACCAGTATATGTAGCTTTAATTCATAAGAGGGTCTGGATGGGCTTTACTGAATAGAGAATTATGAAAATAATAATATTATTAATAATAAAGTAGAGAGAATGATATGGGTGCTAAGATATAAAGAATAGGGAATAATGGGCGAAAATATAAACAAAAGAGAAAAATAGGCAGAAATGTAAAGAATAGAGAAAAATGACATAAAAAATTAAAGAATACAGACTTGAAGGACCACATATGCAGACCCTTTTATAAGGGTGTGAAAGGTATTTGTTTTTTTTCCCTCCCTCGATATTTTCACTTCACTTCCTTTTTCTCTTTTTTCTTTATCCATATTCCCTTTCTGCGATCCCTTATACGAGGGTCTGGATGGGGTTTACAGAATAGAGAACAATAGGTCAATAAAGCAGAAAAATGGGCCTAAAAATAAGGATAGAGTAAAATAGGCTCACAAAATTAGGAATAGATAATAATGGAGTGCTAAAATACAAATAGAGAAAAGGGGCAAAATTTATATAGAATAGAGAAAAAGGAGAATACACAATCGAAGGACCCCCCCCCCCCCTTCTTACACACACCCTCTCATATAACTTCGTGGAATAAATGTCATTGAATACTCGTTCCATAAGCAAAACTTATTACTTATATAAGTGTTAATAATAATGTTTCTAAATGGATGTTTGATATATATAAATACGAACAATTCACATTGATTTTAGTTCTATAGAGTTTAAACACAAATAGAATCAATTACACAGGATTTTTAAATCTATGAATCACTTTTGTGTTTTGATACGATACCCACATTTAAAGTCTTATTTATTAACCCCAGGACGAGAATATTCCATTTCGTAACATGTCTATAAGGTTGCCAATAGAGAAATTAAAATATTTATTGCAATACACATTGATCTTGTAATGTTTACATGCCGACCCGGCGTTTTTTTTTGTTCTAATGCAAGTTGAAAGTTGAAGAAGTAAGGTCAATTAGACATTCGCTTCTGTATATAGCTAATATCAACTTAAAAGTATTTAACTATTTGTATAAAGGATTAAGCTTAATGGCGTAATCGATCCGACAAGGTCATGTAAAATCGGATTTAAATCATACAAGATTTAATTTGAATTCATAAGCAACAATACAATATATATAAATTATAAAAACATATAAAATTAACCCACATATAAAAGAATGTTAGAAAAAAAAATCCATAAAGCATCATAAGTCATAACTGAAATTTAAAACTCCAAATATTTTTTTTTATCAAAGCCGGAATCTTTATCATCTTCTGAGGTTTCAACAAAACCATTTCTTACATCAAAATTCCATTTTTTATTTTGAATAATTCATTTTAAAGCCGATTGATCATTTTGTCCATTTGACTTTCTAGTCGTTGTTTGCTTTTCTCTACTTTGCCACTTTCCGTAAATTAAAATTTTCAAAAATCTTGGCCTTTTGATTGAAATTTTCTACAAAAGTTTAAAAAAAAAACTCTATGAAGGATTGACAAAGTAACTGATTGATGTGTAACAAACTTAAAAACCAGACTGTATCTACTTGTTAACTGTTAAGTCTTTTTATCAGTAAAATACGAAAAAATGAAAATAAATATTTTCAAAATTTTGCTCTGAATATACGTCAAAGAGACAACAACCCGACAAAAGTGCAGAAAACAGCCTTTTGGTCAACAAGCTTCTAACCAAATTTCATAAAATTCCAAATTGACAAAGTTATTGACGTCTTAAAAGACTTGAACCTCAGACTAAATCTGAATGTTAACTGTAAAAAAAATTTAGTCCATCTATCAGTAAATACGAAAAAATTAAAATAAATATTTTAAAAATTTTGCTCTGGATACTATCTTTTGGTCTACAAGCTTCTGACCAAATTTCATAAAATTCCATGTAGGTTTGACAAAGTTATTGATGTCTTAAAAAACTTGAACCTCAGACTTAATCTGAATGTCAATTGTAAAAAAAAAATAAAGTCCATTTATCAGTAAAATACGGAAATTGAAATTAAATATTTTCAAAATGTTGCTCTGGATACTGTCTTTTGGTCAACAAGCTTCTGACCAAAAGGAGCAGGGGCATTAAGGCAATGTTTTAACACAAGAAAAAAAATCTTTGACAACTGTTTCAAATTGGCATATATATAATGTTTGAAATTGATAGAGTCAAGAAATATAATGAAAGATATGAGATTTTTTATCTGACGACGTCACAATTACGTCATAATATGAACAGATTTCATGAAAACGAAGAAAAATACAGAATTTATGCGGTTTTCCATCGCTATTTCCATTGTGGAAATATCGTACGCAGCTGCCTAGAAACAACAAAATAATTCAAGAAACGCTTTATTATAACTATTGACATAATCTCACCAAATATTAAGTTGTTTCTTGAGTGCAAAGTACTGGGGTCACATCAAATGAAATATAGACAATATCTGTATCCTCATTACTCATAATCCATATACCTTTATTTTCTGAACTGAGCATTTTAAAGCTATCACAGCTCTTACTCATGGACTTTATATGCAGTGGCAGATCCAGGGGGTTTGGAGGGGGAGGGCGTCCGGGGGTTATAACCCCCCTTTTTTTGACGATCAATGCTTTTGAATGGGGACATATGGTTGGAAACCCCCCCCCCCTTTCCCTTTTTATCCTGGGTTGGAAAACCCCTTTAAAAATGGTTGCATATGCAACTTAAATAATTAAAGCTTTTCGCTAAAGCAAGCGAACTATTCGTAAACTTCTCAAAATTTTGGGGCCCTTTTTTTGTTTATTATGCTGTATTGATTTTGCTAAATATTGAAGGCCGTTCGGTGACCTATAGTTGTTAACGTCTACGTCATTTGGTCTCTGGTGATGTTTTTTTTTCATTGGCAA